ACTTTAAACAGAAAATACTAATTAATCTAAAATTATCAAAAAAATTAATACCTAAATAATATAAACTACCTGTATTAAAATCTAAACCTAAAATAATTTAAATCTAAGCATAAAATAAACTTAAAAATCAACACAATGAAAGAAAAAAAAAAGATCAGAACCAGTTTAAAATCCAAAATGAGTGACGATGAAGACACTAAGCTTATCACAATTATACATGATAACGTGAAAATTTTGGTATCAGATGACATTAAAATTAGTATAATTTGCAGAGATGTTGCTAAAAGTCCCTAACACCGACCTCTAATTTGCTTAATTATACTTATTAATCACACTTCAAGTATCTTTTTCTGTTTATATAATCACAAAATTCAAAGTGCTCTTACATATTGAAATATTTTCCATCTAAAAGCATATCCAAACAAACTAATATTCTTGAGCATATAACCATGAAAACCACACGTGGTTAAAAAGAGCAGCGGCAAACCAGCAATCAACTCTAGGATATATGGACCAAATATGTAATTCATTCAGAAGTCTAAATGCATACAGAATAGAGAGGCACTGGCAAAGTGGAAATCTCCTACCGCTAGAACCGAAAGAAAAACACCACCAAAACATTATACAAAAGCACCAAGAGACAATCAGCATCAGGCACTTATGGGGCATTAGTCCTAGTTCTGTATTTGGACTCGTCGATGCCGATTCCTTCCTCGGTGGCCCGCTCAGCCCCGGACTAGTCGATGGTACTGAGACCGCCTTTTCGGCCCATTTCCTGGTAGCCTTCACTTCCTATCTGCTCCTTCCTTGTTTGGCCTCCTTTGCTACCCAGCTCCTGATACCCTTCTCTCCCCAGTTGCTCCTTCCTTGTTTGTCCTCCACGGCTCCTCCCTACAACACTAGCTCAACATCAAACTAATGCAATCAGTCATTGAGCAACTAATGCTCAAAAATATATAGATGATCACCTACCTTCTGCAAGGTTCTCACCGGGAACAACCGTTTCTCCCTGCCTTGCCCTGGCGTCGAGTATCTCTCTTTCTTGTTGAGATGTCATCCGCTTCTTTTTCTTTATAACAAGTTCGGAAATGACGAGAATGACACAAAGGTTACAAGAGGGTGAATTCACGTTACGATGCATGCAAGACGTAGGGTTTATAAAATAGTAAATGGCAAGGTATGAAAATGAGGGACGAGGGGTGCCGATAAACAAGGATGGAAAAATTCTTAGCCTATAAATAGAACATTTCCCTTTGGTTAAATGTATGTCAATCACCAAAATACAAGTGGTGTACTAGAAAGCTATTAGCTATACTAGTAGAGAATTTAAAGGAAAATTCTCTTGGGGTGTACTTTAGCTTTTGGGCATGTGTGAGAGTTAAATATTTTGTAGTGTGGTTGTAATAATTTTCCACATAGTAAATATTTTTTCTCTTGATTGTCTTTTGACAACGCTTGTGGTTTTTCTCCATTTGGGAGTTTTCCACGTTAAATTATTGTGTTTTCCCTCTTTTATTTTTCAAGTATTTTTGTTAATGTTGCGATCTAAAGGGATTGTTGGATTACAAGGGGTTTATTTTCCCAACAATTGGTATCGGAGCCAATGGTTTGGTAAAAGATAAATTTCAAGACGGGGTAAGAATTTCTTTAAAATTCTTAGTATGCTCTGTGGTTGCGGCTTTGTCCGATCTTCTACATCAGAAAAGATTTTTTAGAAATTGTTGTGGTCCAACTGGAGGTCCTTTAAATACGTTATTGTGTTTATTGAGTGTGGTATTGTGTAAGTAAGTGCAGCCAAGAAAGTTTTGTCACAAAGGCTATAATCGCCTAAGGAGGTTGGGACTTAAGCGGTACCATTTGTGTCCCCCCAATCTTTCCTGGAAACTTTCTTAGTGCATTTTGTAGACACAATTGTTCACTCATTATTCACGTGTGAGATCACTGGAGCATTGTTGAGCAAAAATGAGTTTCAGATTTGATATTGAGAAATTTGATGGGAGAATTAATTTTGGGTTGTGGCAAGTACAAGTCAAGGATATACTAATCCAGTCTGGATTGTATAAGGCCTTAAAGGGAAAGCCAGCTTCTTTGTCCGAAGGAAAGGAACCAGATAAACCTAGTGACAGCAGTGGAGACAAGGGAAAATCCAAGATGAGTGAAGAAGAATGGGAGGAGTTAGACATGAGAGCAGCAAGTCAGATTCGTCTCTGTCTAGCAAAAAATGTTCTTGCTAATGTTGCTAGATGGTCATCAACAAAGGAGCTTTGGGAAAAGCTTGAGGAAATGTACCAAGCTAAAAGTCTTTCAAATAGGTTATATTTGAAGGAGAAATTTCACAAATTGCAAATGGAAGAAGGTACAAAAATTTCTGACCACCTTAGTGCACTCAATGGGATTGTTTCTGAACTGGAATCTATTGGAGTGGAGATTGATGATGAAGATAAAGCATTGAGACTTATTTGGTCTCTTCCATCTTCCTATGAGCACATGCAAACCGTTTTAATGTACGGGAAAGAGAATGTGAATTTTTCAGAAGTGACAAGTAAGCTGATTTCGGAAGAAAGAAGGCTGAAAAATGGAGAGAACAAATCTTCTGAAAGTGGAGCATTGTCGGTTTGTGGAAATAGGAAGAAGTATAAAGGCTCCAAAAAGAAAATTATCTGCTGGGGATGTGGGCAACCTGGACATCTAAAGAAGGATTGCAAAAACGGTGGAGCTAATTCGGCTAATGGCTCCAAAAGTGATGCTACTAATGTAGTCGTCTTTGAAAATGAAGACGATGAATTTGTTTTTTAAAGTAAGATATATATATCCTCATGGCATGATAGCTACCAATTGAGTTGCCATGGAAAAGGATGTATGAAAAGGTAGCATGTCCACATTTACACATGGGCATTGGTTGACAGTTGATGCAAGGTGTGTGGTGGAATTGATGTCGATGGCTAATGAACTTCCTAGAAAGTCAATATTGGAAGTTGCACCATAACTTATTAGCAGTTTTTCGACATGAACTGGTCGAGGTAAAAATTCTTGGAGTTAGTGAATTCCAAGTGTGTATACTCTTATGGTGGAGTATGACAATTCTTGTGTTTTAGAATTGTGACTATCATAGCTGATGGTGTTATTGAGGTAGCTGTTGTTTTTATGGTGAAGAATTGTACGGAATTTTTGCCAAGGTGGAGATTTGTTAGTTTTTGGCAAAAATTGGCCAAATCCCACATTGGAAATGAACAAAGGATGGAAAAATCTTAGCCTATAAATAGAACATTTCCCTTTGGTTAAATGTATATCAATCACCAAAATACAAGTGGTGTACTAGAAAGCTATTAGCTATACTAGTAGAGAATTTAAAGGAAAATTCTCTTGGGGTGTACTTTAGCTTTTGGGCATGTGTGAGAGTTAAATATTTTGTAGTGTGGTTGTAATAATTTTCCACATAGTAAATATTTTTTCTCTTGGTTGTCTTTTGACAACGCTTGTGGTTTTTCTCCATTTGGGAGTTTTCCACGTTAAATTATTGTGTTTTCTCTCTTTTATTTTTCAAGTATTTTTGTTAATGTTGCGATCTAAAGGGATTGTTGGATTACAAGGGGTTTATTTTCCCAACAGTTCGGAAATGACGAGAATGACACAGGTTACAAGAGGGTGAATTCACGTTACGATGCATGCAAGACGTAGGGTTTATATAATAGTAAATGGCAAGGTATGAAAATGAGGGACGAGGGGTGCCGATCAAGCAAGGCAGGACACGTAGTAGAATAAACTTGGTGAAGTAGGAGCAATGAAAGCCATATGGTAATGACACGTAGGTGCTTAGTCACTTTCATTCAATGCCAATTGCCACGAGTCCAGTTCCTGCAGAGTTAAGTTACTCAAGTACGTAGTAGTTTGGAGTATTTGGTTTCTTAAATTCCTCAGCCTTTGGTTCGACTCCCCAAGGCGTTAAACCTCCTCAAATTGTATTCTATTCGATTAGGAAGGTGACATATTTCACCTATTAATTAGATTAATAATTCATTAAATTATTTTTCTAAAAAATTCTAATTAGATGGCGAGGTGTATTACAATTCGTTTTAATTAAAGATTAAATTTATTGAATTAAATTAAAATTAAGATCAAATCAAGAGAATAAATAAGATGTGAGGACTAAATATAAAATTATACTAATTTTATTAATTATTATATCGCTACTCTATTGTATGTTAATGACATATAGTTTGATTGAACTCATTTAAACAGTTATATAGTCACATACAAAACTAAAAATATGGTGGTCATCAATCCTATAATTAAACTGTAATTTGAGTAGTTTACCTTATTTTATACGTAGATTTCATTTCCTTTATTTTTTTTATCGTAAATTAATTTGTGTAATAACATACTTAGTTCTTAGTATATACTATTAATTTAATTTTATAATAAAAAATCAAATAATTTTTTAACATATTAATAATTTTGAGGATGAAATTGAAGTTTTTAATTTGGTGACCATAATAAAAAATAATAGTTTAATGATTAATATAATATTTTATTTTTTATTAGTTTGAGATGATTAAATGATAGTATTTTTTTTATATAATTTTTAGCATATTGTCAACATACACCAACGTAGGTTGACATCTAACTTAGGGTGAACTAGTACCCATCAAATCTAATTTTTTTCGATTACTTATTTATTTTTATTAATTGTACCCACCTGAAATTTTATATGTACCTATTCTATTAAAAAAACTTATGTTGCTAATGTATGTGTGATCATCAATAAAAATAATTCTAGATTATTAATTTCAAATATTCTTTTTTACTAATTAAACCACTTAATGTGAATTGATATGCAAATTGAAATATGAAAATGGAGGGGGTGAAATTGATGAAAATACATAACCAGGAGGAGTGTTTAGATATTTGCCACTAATTTTTTTACCACAAAAACATACAAAGCCCTGCAAGGCCAGTGGCCCAGCGGTGATTGTAAAAAACTTGTAATAATAAAAAACAGAAAAAAAATCCTATATAAGGAAACGCTGCCGTTGGGGGGCAGCAGCGCAACACCATCCTTCCCAGCTTCCATTTTTTGCCTACATTTTTTTTTACTAATTTAATGTACTCTCAATAATCTCCTCTCCAAAACCCTAGCTCCTTCACTCGCTGCCGCCGATTCCACTCAGTGAGTTACTTTCTCTCTCAATCTCTCTTGCTCGGCTCTCGATTATATTTATTGATTTTCGGATATTGATTTTCTTTTCCCACTTCCAGAATTCAACATATAAGCTTCGAAAAAGATGTCGGACGAGGAACGAGAGGAGAAGGAGTTGGATCTCACCTCCCCTGAAGTTGTTACTAAATACAAGAGCGCTGCTGAGATCGTTAACAGTTAATCTCCTTTTGAATTTGATATTATATTTTTTTGTAGGTTTTTTTTCTATTTTGTGTTTATGTTTGATACTGTTTGGAAATTTGTAGAGGCTATGCAGTTAGTTGTAAGAGAATGCAAGCCGAAAGCTAAGATTGTTGACGTTTGTGAGAAAGGTGATGCATTTATTAGAGAGTAAGTGTTTAGTTACTGATGGATTCAGTCTTTATTTTTTTTGTATGTTTCACTATTGATGATGAAATTAGTGATTTTTGGATTGTTTGTTTGTTTATTTAATGTGAAGGCAAACAGGCAATATGTATAAGAATGCTAAGAAGAAGATTGAGAGGGGTGTTGCCTTCCCCACTTGTATTTCTGTCAACAACACTGTTTGTCATTTCTCTCCACTTGCTAGTGACACCTCCGAGTTGCAAGAAGGTGATATGGTGAAGATGTAAGCTTCATATACTATTTTTTTTGCTTAATTTGGCGTTTTTAACATTTTGTTGGGATTTAATGCTTTTTTTACCCTTGATGTAGCGATATGGGTTGCCACATTGACGGGTTTATTGCTGTAGTTGCGCACACCCATGTTGTTCAGGAATGGCCAGTCTCTGGCAGGAAGGCTGATGTTGTTGCTGCTGCAAACACTGCTGCTGAAGTTGCCGTGAGGCTTGTCAGGCCTGGGAAAAATGTAATTGTTCTGCATATCTTGCTTCAATATTCTTTGTTATCCTTGTGTTTTCTTTAGCTATTGTGCATTTTTATCTTATAATTCTGGAACCAATTTTTTTTACTTTTCTGAATTTTGGTTCCCTAAACGATGAATGTCTTGTATTGGCCATGGATCTACATTCAAATGAAGCTTTTTGTCATAGTTACTCTGATAGGGAAATTGATCTCTCAACACACAATGCCTTTTTGATTTGACTCGTAGAAGTGATTGAGAGATGTATAACATAAATTTGAAGGATAGGCAACTTTGCCGAGGTGATCAATCTTTTATTTATCCCCTTTTTTCCCTGTTGCCAATATTATGTTTTGTCATGTTAGGCTGCCTTAGGCTAGTACATCTTTTATTGGTTTATGCCAGTTGCCCTACTTGACCAACATTTTCTTTATAACTAATACAAAGTGAGTACAACCTCATGGCTGTTTTTATTTAACTGTTGAGAAATACTGTCAAGTAAATGCTATATTTTTCATTGTTTCAAAGTTTTACCCTATCCAGAAATATTGGTTTATTTAACTCTTTTTCGTGTGTATATATATATATATATATATATATATATATATATATATAATATATATATATATATATATATATATATATATACACATCTTTTGTTTGCTCACATGATTCCTATGTGATGAAGAAAATCTTGAGCTATGGATTTAGTTCCAACGTAGCCTCTTTTAGTCATAGTTACGCTGATAGAGAATCATGTGTCATCTCCCTTTGTGCCTCGCTTTCTACCATCTGTTTTGACCATCCAACCCTCCTGTTGCAGTGGGAAGACAACTCAATGGAGATAAATTATTTTCTTTTCCACACTTAAATTATCAAACATAGTCTGGACTTTTAAATTTTCCTCTATTCTATTTTCCCTAGGCGATTAATAATTTTCAAAAGCTATGGACCAACATCCAAGTGAGGCTTTTGTCCTAGTTACTGTGATAGGGAAATGTTTTTAATGTTCCTCCTTTTCTGATGAATGCATTACTAGTTACTAGTTTCCTTTGTAATTTATATTGTTTACAACATGCATCCTTACTTCAATTGATATTATCTGTTGTACTTAATGTCTTTTGTTATGGTTTTAATGGCAGAATAAAGATGTAACGGATGCAATTCAGAAGGTAGCTGCAGCTTATGACTGCAAAATTGTTGAAGGCGTTCTTAGCCATCAACTGAAGCAGTTTGTGATAGATGGAAACAAAGTCATATTAAGCATCTCCAATCCAGATACCAGAGTTGATGATGCCGAGTTCGAGGAGAATGAAATCTATGCAGTAGATATAGTTGTTTCGACTGGTGAAGGCAAGGTAATTGTCTCTTGTTATATTTAACCTTGTTTCTGTGCCTATGCTTATGTCTATTGATCTTGTGCTTGAAATTTCCATGAACTAAAATTGCAGCCCAAGCTCATGGATGAGAAGCAGACAACTATTTATAAAAGAGCAGTTGACAAGAATTATCATTTAAAGATGAAGACCTCCAGATTTATTTTCAGTGAAATAAATCAGAAATTTCCTATTCTCCCATTCACTGCTAGGTCTGTAATCGTTAAACGTATTTGGTCTGAATATGCGTTGTTTGTTATTACTGCTGTGAAGCGCTTCATGTGGATTTCCTATGTACAGGGCTTTGGAAGAGAAAAGAGCTCGTCTGGGTTTAGTCGAATGTGTGAATCATGATCTCTTGCAGCCATATCCTGTTCTTCATGAGAAGCCTGGTAAGAAATGACTGCTGAAATCTAGTTTAATAGTGATAGGAGATGAAGTGGTATCATGTCAACACTATGAGCTGATGCAATCTGGACTGTAATCCTGCAGGGGATTATGTTGCTCATATAAAATTCACGGTGCTGCTAATGCCTAACGGTTCAGATCGGATAACATCCCATCCACTTCAGGAGCTGCAGCCAACCAAGACAATAGACGATCCTGAAATTAAGGCATGGTTAGCTTTGGGAACAAAGACAAAGAAAAAAGGTGGTGGGAAGAAGAAGAAAGGTATGGTGTAATATAATATAATAACGAATAATCAAAGACGTTCTTATATCAGATAAACTATACTTGATATAGTAGAAGCAAAATTTTGAGGATTATGTAGTAAACCCACGTGTATCGCAGGTAAGAAGGGTGAGGGTGATAAAGCTGATGCAGAGCCCATGGATGCATCAACAACTGAAGGTGCTGCTGCATCTTAAGAAAAAGGCAAAACGAACTCTGTGTGCTTAACTTTTCAATTTTGGTATTTTGTATGTGATTGGGTTGAGTTAGTATATCAAACATTGATCCTGTTCTTTAATGAATTGGTTTTTTTCCCTTTTCTCGAAAAATATGATACATATGGGTTTTGAAGGACAGATGAACCAAGTGTCATAATCTTATTATAAGATGAAATATTTTAGAAAACATCTTCCAATTAGCAATGCTGTTGGAATTGGATTTAATGGGTTGATTGAATTGAGAATTCGTTCGTCCATCATTGGACTAATGGTACAAAATCGTAAATTCGTATAGCTGTTTTGGGAAAATTGAATAAAACAATTTTAATTACTCGGTTTTTATTATGTGTTAGGATTTCTATTTACAATTTTTAATTGGAGTGGGCAAATTGAAGCAAACGAAGCCAATAAGAGAAGTAAAAGAGTTTATAGTTGAGATGTTTATGCAAAACATTGATGGGCGAATTTAGACCGGTAGTGTTTTGGGGGAAAAATTGGTTTTTTAGGTCCAACAGGGTACACGCTTAAATTATTTGGCTCATTAGGACACCTCACAAATTAATTAGGACACCTCACAAATTAATTTGAGATTTACTATATTTTCTACAGTTTAGGACGAACTCATCGTCTCGAGTTGGTAAGTTTTTTAAAAAATTATTATTTTTATATTATTATACGAATTTATTGTTGGAAATAAAAAATACACTGGAACTTATCGCGTCGATGTAACAAGTTTAGTTAGATTTTTTTGGACTCTCCAAAATGATGTAGATTATGTTGAAAAGAACAATAAATTACGAACATTAATTAGAAATTCATAAATGCACATTAGGAGAACCAATGGGAAAAATATTCATAAAATTATCATTGATATTTGTAAAATCAGTACAACATGGGAATATTATTACAAAGGATTTATAAACAATGCTTCATATTGTGTCCTTCACCTTTACAGTGGCCACATAGCTTCGGTAGACCTTCATCTCTTTGAGGGTTATCCATATTAGTATGAATTTTAGTAGATTCAGGATGACCCGTCAACTTCTTTCGTAATTACGGATTGGGCAACCATTCTTCAGAGACAATAGGTGGCAAATATTCATCGTTCGGGAGATACTTAAACTCGTAACTGTATATGTTGCGTATAATATGCAAGCTATAACAATCATCAACGTAAATGTACGAGTCTACATTCACATGCATACATGCAGCAACCACATGAGCACATGAGTATCTGAAGGCTTAAAATCGACCACATTCACACCATTTTTTTATTCAAATTACCAGTATAGGTGGCAGAAGTCCAATCATCATATGGTCGAACAAGTGCTTGGACAATATAATCAGATTCCAATGTGCTGAACTTACGAACATACATTGATGTTGCATGAGTTTGATTTTTGGTCATTGCTTTCTCTAGATATGGAGCCCAATTTCTACATTCGTTGAGGATTGCCTCTACTTGGACACTTTTGTCTGCCCAAACTTTACCCAATCTGAAGTATGTCTCCCGAACAATACTTGCACCGGAAGATGTCTAGTCTCTTTTAGCACTGAATTGATACACTCAACAAGATTGGTTGTCCTATGACTGTAACGTCGAACTTGATCGTCATATTCTCGTGCCCATCTTTCCCGGGGTATGTCAACTGCAAAGTTATACACTTCTTCTCCATCCTTTCTAAAATTTTCCAATCTTGCACGGAAGCTCGGTTGTAGTAATGCGTAGCCTAAAAAAATAGTTACTTGTAAATATAATAATTTTAAACGAAGACCAAGACAAAAAACAAAGGGTAATAATGAATAAGTTACCCATGTTGATAATCTATTTCTTTATGTTCTTATCCTTGAACCTCGTTATAGCACTTAAAGCAATATGATGTATACAATACATAGGAAACGTATGCGGAGGCAACAATCTACTAGTTAATACATTTGACAAAATATGTCTCCTGATTAGACTCCACAACAGTGAATTACATATGATCTTTGATACAAAACTCCTTCACAGCTAGTTATGCAGCATTCTTACTCTCAAACTGTGACCCAACTACAAACTCCGTCAATTCTTCATTTGAGGTCCCCTAGTGGGTCGCGCATATCGGGCATATCATGAATCTCAGAATTCCTCATTGTATCATAGTTTATATCATGCATTGCAACTACATGACGATATTAAGGCATCTGGGGGTGCGAACTTTCTACTTGCATGGCTGTTGGTGGATGTACCTAAACTTGCGGTGCATTTTGCATTGCTTGGCCATGAGAAATAACTGCCTTCCGGACATTACCCTTTATATCAAAGGCTTGTCCATCTGAAGAAACCTCAGTGATATCAGATTCATCGATTATTGGTGTGTTATCGTCCATCATAAGTGGAACAAAAGTTTCATCGTCCTCGCTAAAATCACCAAAGATTTCATCGAATCGCCTGACGATGTTATATATATCTTCTGATGGTCCTGCTTCTACGGTCACCGGTGCAGTAGTTGATGAAGTAGGAAAATTTACAGTTTCGGCAATAATCTCAACCATTTGATTATTGGAAGATTAATGAAGGCCAATCATAATAGCTACATCGTCGTCGTCATCATCGATCAGGATTGCTCCATATTTGAGCAGAGTCTCTGAAATAATGTGTCGATATCTCAAACTTGAAATATAACCTCTAAATTTTTTTCGATTTTCATCTTCAATTGCAAATGAGATATATTTACCGGGAACATCATGTTCATGGGCCTCTGTGACATGAACTAAACAACATCTTTAGTTTCAACAACTTGGCCATTTGGGTGGACAATTGTGAAAAACTTGTTCTTCATAGCTTCAGAGAGAGATTGGTTTTTTCTTGTTCAATACAATTGTAAAAATAACAAGTCTTATGAAGATTCATCTGAAGTGAGCCAATTTAAAACAAATACGACCAATCATTAATTACTACTCAACAACTCTCCAGTGAAATGTCATCTCAGTAGGTCAAACAACGGTGGTGCATTACCATTTTCTGCTACTTTTCAGAGGTCATTTAATGCATAATTTAAGCAACTTTTCAGAAAACTGTTGAAATAGTAGTGCATTATCATCTTCTGCAACTTTTTTTATTGATGTATCAACTCAAATCAGAAATTTTTTGTGTGGTGCATTTATCACTTCATATAAGAAAAAGGGTGTGTTTCTCATAGGCCAAATAATGACCCATTTCACAAACTTTTCAATGCTCATTTAATCATCTTCAACAACTATTAATATGTGTGAGCTGAAAGCTATTTTACTCTGCTATTGAAACAAAAAAAAAACCAAAACACCTTTAATCTTTCACTTCCAAAGCTTGAGTTTTTTTTTTCAAACATGTCAACTATTAGTGCAACTATTTTTTACGATTGAAAATCTATAACCATGTGTTTCCTAAAAAACATTCAATTACACGAGTTGACGTTCAATATAGAAACAAGAGTTCTAATCAGAAGCATTAGAAGAATATCTTCCTTATATTATAGATTTTCACTATCACACACGAGGTTTCATCTATTGAGACATATTACTATCACTATTTCTCTAATGTCAATTTTTTTGTAGAGTTCGATGATTTCGATCTTGCTCGTATCATTGAGGATGTTGTTTCCAGCTCAAATATCCCACCAACTCAGACAAATGACCAAGAAAAAAAACATAAATGATGGATACCCATAAGCATGGTTCCAATTTGTATGTGAATGACAACAACAAAAAGAATGGGAAATTAAAGAACTTAATCTAACCTCTGACAAGTCTACTGATTACAAAGATTAAAACTTCTTAATCAATATTGTTATGTTAATGATTTTATTTAATGTTTATGGTGTTCGTAAGGTTAGTCCTATCTATGTCCTTTTGTTAATGTATTAAGTTTGTAGTTTTTTCTTCCTAATGTACATTTCTTAATGTCTAATCTAATGTGAAGAGCCAAAAAAAAGTATCTAACTAAACTTGACACCTCAATGTGACGAGTTCCAGTGTATTTTTTCTTTCTAACAATAAATTTACATAATAATCTGAAAAAATAATATTTAATGGAAGGTGAAGAGTTCCACAGGAAATATTAAAATATTAGGCTCAAAATATAAAAAGTATATCCCATAAAACTTGTCATGTCGAGGTGACGAGTTCGCCCTAGACTGTAGAAAATGCCGCGGATCCCAAATTAATTTTTGTGGTGGCCTATTGGGAAAAAAACTGAAAGCATTATCATTTAAAGTGTCTAGGGAAATTATTTTTATTTTCCAAATAGTGTTATTGTTTTTTTAGAAAATCGTTAGTTTTATTAAAAATAGAAAACATTCAGAACTATAACCAAGATTTACAAGAATAATCGAAAACTAAATTATAATTATGATATTTTCCTTTAACCATTAACATAAAAACTAGCCACCTAGATCACACAAGGACCAAAGAAGGAAAATGTTAAAAAACCTAACCAAAATGCTCGAACAAAATAAAGATACGAACAAATCTGACTGAATCAGCAAACAAACCACAAAAAGAGATGAATCTACGGAAAGATCACCAACAAATCACAAATCAGAGTCAAGCGATGTGAGAAAATTTTTCACAAGTGCAAAACGTGTACCTAAATCAATTCAAAGGTCCAAAGCAGGAAAAATAAGCATGATAACAAATAAACGCCATCTTGATCAATCGTGGCGATGTCAAATCTAACCATGAGAAAAAAAGATAAACGAAAATAACGATCAAACGACCGAAAACTACCAAAAGACAAAAAAATATGTCACAAAGGCATAGATAAACATGTCACAAAGGCATAGATAAACATGCCACAAAGGCAAAGAAAAACGTATCACAAAGGTAAATTATTCTTATTAAAACACTAAAAAAAAGAATATTTACGGTCGACAACCAACATCAAAACTGATGTCATTGTCAGAAAAACAGAATTAAAGAAGAAAAAATAGATTTAATCTATAAAAAAATAACACAAATTATAAAAAA